AGTTAAGCCCATAATTGCTGGTGGATTCGGTGGCGTTTGCTTCTGGGCGTCCGTATACCCCATCGATGTCGTCAAGTCTCGCATTCAGGCGGTGTCCCAACACCAGACTATGGCCTCTGTTTTTGCTCTCATTATCAGAACTAAAGGTATTAAAGGGCTATACAAAGGACTATCACTTTCATTATTGCGGGCATTCCCACAATCCGGGGCACTATTTCTTACCTATGAGTACACGAAGGAAATGCTCACCAAATTTGCCGATAAGACATTGTAGTCTAATGATAATAAAGTTTTATTTAAATTATATTTTTGTGTCACAATTTAGTTTAAATGATTTTTAATATTAATAAATTTCTTGGAAAGATTTTTTAATTTTAGAATTTCTTGTAATTAAACCAATAAAACAATTGATGAATGTTTTAAGTTTTTGGTCTCAACTGTAAACTATTTTCAAATACTGTCAAAATTTGTGTGGCTAAAGGTTGCTGCCTATTTGACACAAATATCTCTGAAATGTCTTCCTCTGGTTCAACAAAAAGACAATTAGTGAACGGATCCATTGAATTAACAGCCGGTGGTTTGGGTGAATATATTCAGTACTTATTGGTTATCTTTATCTAAAGGTTTACTTATATTAGGAGCTGTTTCTAACATAATGGTCGGCCACCCGTTGGACACACTTAAAGTTAAAATGCAAACATATCCGCAATTATACCGCAATTCCTTTGATTGTTTCAAACAAACTGTGGTTAAGGTATGAATACTTTTATGATTTTTTAAATTAAACTTTTGGTGAATGAATTGATTAAAAGGACGGATGGAGTGGTCTATACGCTGGACTACGACCTGCGCTCATCTCCGATATATCGGAAAAGTCTGTCCTATTCTTTGCGTATGACTTGTGTCAGCAATCAATCTGTGATATGAGACAAACACAAGAATGCACCACATTTGATAAGGCATTGTCAGGTCTGCACTATTATCAAGGTACTTTTTATAATGGTTTTAATCAACATATTGCAATTTACTAATTTTGTGATAGGATTTTTTGCCGCATTTTTCTCTTCCCTAACCTGTACGCCAACAAAATATTACTAATTATTTATATCTAAAAAATAGCTAGCGCCTATCTGGTTCTTTAAGGCTCATATGATAAACATAATAAATATACATTGATAACCTTTAAACTATTTATCCATAAGAGAATAGTTCTAACTTAAAACTTGTAAGTATTGGAAAATTATTATATTAAGATTATGATGTGGTAATATATTTTATATTGAAAAATTATCACAATTTCTATGGAAATGCTTAGTATTATTTACTAAAAAAATATTGTCCTTTACAAAATGTCTATTTACTCAATATTATAATATTGAAACTAATGTTTGTGAAATTTCATATTAATAGTAGTTTTATACAAACGTAAATTATAATAAACATATTTATCAAAATATTTATGATTAATTACATTAGTTATTACAAATACAAAATAATAATTGTTAATAATAATTGTATTTATAATGCGAATACTAATTTATAATATCACCTTATAAATATGGACGAATTTGAAATAATTGATAAAATTGGAAATGGTAGTTTTGGTGACGTATTCAAAGCAATTAATAAAACTAATAACAATGTTATTGCTATTAAACGATTTAAATTTCAAGGTTCCATATGAATTTTATTATATTTGAGTTTAGATTATTTTTAAATCATTCATTTATTTTTATATTATTAATAAAACTTATTTTATATTATTTTTACCAGATTATTATTCAGAAAAAGAAATACAAAAGATTTTAATAGAAATTGAATCATTAAAACAAACTCAATCTGAGCATGTTGTTGAATATTACGATTCATGGTACGATGGGCGCTATCATCACATTGCAATGGAATTATGTGATGATTCACTTAAAAGTATAATTCAATTAAAACCAGAAATATTTGGCAGAGAATTAGGTGAACCTATGAATATATTCGAGTATTTCATATCAGGCGTTATATTCAAACAATTGTTAGAAAGTGTTCAATATTTGCATGAATTGAAACCACAGATCATTCACAGAGACCTCAAACCCGATAATATATTAATCACTAGTAATGTTAAGAACGGTAGATTTGTTAAGTTATGTGACTTTGGTTTGGCTACAGTTCACGACAAAACAATACACTATATGACTAAATTTAAACATACTGCAGATGTAGGTGATATGCGCTACATGGCACCTGAAGTTTCACAAAGGAAAAAATATGGACATAAATCAGATATTTATAGCTTGTCACTAATTGGATGCGAATTATTTAATAATATTGATTTATCAATGTCAGATTATGATAGGTAAGTAATATTAAACTAACAATTTGGGATATATTCAAACAGTGACAATTAATAATGAGATTATGCTTAAAACTATCCTGATAATATGTAAAAAATTATAAATATAGTCGTGCTTATACTAAGGTTTGGGTCAGTTATGGTCAAGGTAAATTTAATGTATATCACTATTGATATCACATACTAAAGTACATACTCTATGGTCGGGAGATCGAATCCAGATGGGTGCAAATATTTTTTGAATTATATTTTGTTAAATAGTATATTTTATTTTACTTTTTATTTATATTTTATTTAAAAGTATTCATAATATATATATTTAAATATTATTATGATCATATTTATAATTAATAAATGTATATAAACAAAATTGATGTACATATTAGTAAATACTGGGTACTGTAAAGTATTATTGATTGTTTGATATGTACTTTAGTATGTGATATCAACAGTGATATACATTAAATTTACCTTGACCATAACTGACCCAAACCTTAGTATAAGCACTTGTGACTATATTTATAATTTTTTACATATTATCAGGATAGTTTTAACCATAATCTCATTATTAATTGTCACTGTGATGAATATATCCCCAATTGTAAGTACCTTAAGATTTATCAAATACATATGTATGAAATAAACTCATTTTCTATCATCTATAATGTTATAGCTAATAGGGTACCATTGAATTTAATTACAAAATGAGTCTAGTTCATATATACAAAACTACAAAATCTTTAGGAATGTATTTTAAATTTATAACAGTTTATTGAATTTAGGTATATTAAATTAATTAATTATATTACAGAGATAAAATGAATTCAATAATTCATAATAATTTAAAAGATCCTGCTAATAAATTGGAAGCTACTCTTTTGGCAATGCAAACAACTCCAATATGGAATAAACGCCCAGAATGCAGTGAAATATTAAAAGAATATAACGAATGGTCTATCAATAAGATTATAATTTTAGCACACTCAGATTTCCAATCAACAGTGCACAAACTTCAACAACATGAAAATAAATTTATTTTTAATATTTTTAAATCGTATGTTGGATATAAACCACCGATAATTCATCGAAGTTCTAGACCATTTGATAAAATTTTAAATAAGAAAGAATTAACGATTCTATTATTGGGTGAGTCCGGTGTGGGAAAGTCGACATTCATCAACGCATTCGCCAATTATAGAAATTACGAAAATATGTACCAGGCCAAATTGAAACCAATATGCCTCATACCAGTTAATTTTATATTGGCTGATCGTGAGACCTATCGACTTAGGACTGTATCGTTAGGCACTCACGATACCAATGAAAATACGGGCGATGCCACAAAACCTGCCACTCAATATCCCAAGTGCTATAAATTTGAAATTGGCAATGTTACTATAAATATAATAGACACTCCGGGTATTGCCGACACAAAGGGTATTGATAAGGATAACAATAATATGAAAAGTATATTGGACTTTATATCCAATTATCCCGAAATTAATGCAATTTGTGTGCTCATAAAGCCTAATAATGCCAGAGTTGGTGTTGTTTTCAAGTATTGTTTGTTACAGTTGTTCAGTCACTTGAATAAGTCTGCGGCCGATAACATACTGTTCCTTTTCACTAATACCCGATCAACTCGATACACACCGGGAGATACCGGAACCGGATTGATATCTCTATTGGACCAAATCAGAGAAAGCCAGCCGTATGTGGACATAGAGTACGACAAGAAAACAATCTATTGCTTCGACAACGAGGCCTTTCGGTTTGCAGTGGCGTCGGCACCGCCTAATAATATGGTATTTGACGACATGGAAACACGTGATTACGAAATGAGTTGGCAGGTGTATGTAAACTCTATTATATCTTAAACTCATCAAATGTGAGAGTTTAATATAAAATAAATTCTAACTTATTTTTTCAATTTGAATATTAATTCTCCTTTTAGAATTAGGCTCTAACAAATATTTGCAATATAAATACAAATGTATAAGGCAATATAATGTAAATAATACTATTGTAAAATCTTTAAATTTAAATACCTGACAGCTAGCATATCTTGCGACTACTCAAATGTATACCACATTTTAATTACTTTTTTATATGTAGATTATTTACTACTAAATGGTTAAAACTTATTCATAGAAAATATATATTATATTGGTGTATTCGCAAGCCGCTTTTGCTATCACATACTTAATAAAGATTTTACTAAAGTATTATTTATATTATATTGCCTCATAAAAGCGTCGCCAAAATACTGTTAACTCGTTTAATTCAATTTAAAAATACTTAGAATTGAGCTAGATCAAAACAAAATTTTTTGCAACTATGGTTTTCTCCTACCATTACGCCTATATGATCACTTTTTCCCAAATCAGAGGGGAACGGTAGGGAACGGTA